ATAGTTCCTTGGAGAATTAGTGTTACATGAATTTGTATCTTTTCACCTTAATGTAGTAACTGTAACATAATTAGATTTTTTTGGTTTTTTTGCATTGATAAATACATTTACTATAAGAAATGGGGTTTTCAGAGTATAACAGCTCACTTAGTTTTTAAATGATAATGCTGTTATATTTATTGACCTAGAAATTTTCATACTAGATTATTCAATTTAAAATATGAAGGATAGAACATTAATTTCACCATTATTTTAAAAATAAACATTAAAAAGTTTAGAAGGGCTCACATCAAAAGGTAATGGGGAGTGGGGTTAAAGGTTGTTTTTTCTTTTCACACTCATTTTCTAATTCTTTGATGAATGTGTACTATATGTATAGTTTAAACATCTTTAAATTGTATTTTAATTGACTAATTCTAAATATTAAGGGGTACAATGTGACATTTCCATACTTATATGCAACGTGTAAATCAGATCAGTGTAATTGGCATATCTATCACCTTGACAGTTGTGAACTGTAGTTATCCTACTGTGCTAATTTGCCACTGTGCTGTAGAACATTTGAAGCTATTCTTCCTCCCCAGGTGCACCCTTGTCTACATTCCTCTCTCCCATATTCCAACACATGTTCCAGGCTCTGGTAACCATTATTTTATCTTCTTCTTCTGTTAGATCAACTTTTTAGTTTCTATGTAGGAGAACATGTAGTAATTGTCTTTCTACGCCTAATTTACTTCACTTAACATAAGATCCTCCATTTTCATTCATGTTACTGCAAATCGTAAAATTTCATTTTTTTCATGACTGAGTAATAGTACATTGTGTATATTTTCTTTATCAATTTATCTATTGATAGACTCCTGAGGCTGATTCCACATCTTGGCTAGGAGGAATAGTGCTGTAATAAACATGAGTGCAAATGTCTCTTTGACATACTGATATCAGTTCATTTGGTATATACCCAGTGGTAAGATTATTGAAGCATTATGTTCTAGTTCTAGTTTTTTGAGGAGCTTCTGTACTTTTTTTCCATAATGGCCATATTAACTTACATTCCTATCAATAGTGTATTGAGTTCCTGGTCCCTTCCCATCCCTCTTAGCATTTGCTTTTTCTTTACTTGATACTAGCCTCTCTGAGATGAGATGGTATGTTATTATGGTTTTGATTTGATTTGCACTTCCCCGATGGTTAGTGATGTTGAGCATTTTTTTATATGCTTGTTGGCCATTTGTGTATCTATTTTGAGTAACATCTATTTAGATCATTCACCCATTTTTAAATTGGATTACTTGTTTTGTGCTATTGAGTTGTTTGAGTTCTTTATATATTCTAGAAATTAATTGCTTACAGAATGAACACTTTCCAAATATTTTCTCCCATTCCGTAGGTTTTCTCTTCTCTCTGTTGGTTCTTTTGCTGTACAGAAATGTTTTAATTTTATATAATCTCATTTGTCAATTTTTGCATTTGAGGCCTGTGCTTTTAAGGCCATATCCAAAAAATGTTTGCCTAGACCAATACCTAGAAGTATTTCCTTATATTTTCTTTCAGTCATTTTTACTTTAGGTCTTACATTTAAGTTTTTTATCTACTTTGATTTGATTTAGTATATGATGAGAAAATAGGGGTCCAATTTCTTTCTTTGCATATGAATATCCACTTTTGCTGGCATCATTTATGGAAGAAACTTGCTTTACTTTTTTTTATATTTATGAATACATGTTTGTAATACATAATGATTACATTCATTGTGGGGAGTTGCTGCATGACACATCTTAATTCTTTTTACATGCCCCTTTTTTTCCCTTTCCTCCCCACTATTTCCATATCTTGGTCCATTCCTTATTTACAAAAAAAAAAAAATCTAACCTTGTTTCCTTTCATCTGTCTTTTATTTATTTAGACTTTGGGTTTCTCATGTAAGAAGCGATGCAATGTTCAAGCTTTTGCATGTCATTTATTTCACTTAACATCTCATGCTGCACCCATTTTCTTATAAATGACTTAAATTTATCCTTCTTTATGGCAGAGCAGTACTTTACTGTGTATAAATGCCACATTTTCTTTGTCTAGTCATCTACTGCTGGACATATAGGCTACTTCCAAAATTTAGTTATTAGTTGTGCTGCTATAAACATGGGTATGTATATATCACTAAATTATGTCTTTAGCTATTTTGGAAAGATACCTAGAAGGAAAGAGCTGAATCAAATGGAATTTCTGTGTTTAGTTGTTTTAAGAACAATTGATACTGATTTCTATAGTGATTGCAGTAGTTTACATTCCCCAGTAATGTAGAAGGCTACCATTTTCCCCACAGCCTCACCAAAATTTGTTGTTATTTGACTTCTTGATGATAATCACTTTTTCTGGAGTACGATGGAGTCTTAATGCTGTATTCATTTGCAGTTCTGTAATGGCCAGAGATGTTGAACATATTTTCATGTACTTATTGATCCTTTTTTCTTCTTCCAAGAAGTGTCTATTCCTTTTGGTTACTCATTATTTGAATGAGTCTTTTATTTTAAGAGGGTTGAATTTTTTTACTTCTGATTTTTCACTAATTCCAGTTAATCTTAGATTAGTCTTTTTATCATGTAGCTGCTGTTGGGTCCTTTTCCCATGACCTTTTATAGTTTTTGAATTATCTCTGAGTGTGTGGTCACCTGCATCAGCCCTGTCTTCCAGTTCTGTCCTTATATTGGTCACTTCTGCAACCGCATACTTTCAGCAGAAGTTTTTGTCTCCTGGATTTGTGTTTGGTACCTTTTATGTACTATAATTCTCTGCTAAACTGGTCATTCATATTTTATATCATTTTTATCTCAGGTGGCTTTTTATTAGTGTTTTCTATAAGCTCACTGATTATTTTATTATCAATTATGTGTTTAGTTATATCATCTTTGAACTTGCGGAGCATTTTATCTCAGTATTTTTTGTCTTTTCTTTTATAATTTGTATAATTTGTATAATTTCACTATTTGGCTTTTGATTTCCTCCCTATTCGTGCTCCATAGATAAGCTTTGGAGAAATTGGGAGTGTTTGGAGGCATCTTGTTGTCTCATTTTTTTATGTTTCTTTTTTTTTCTTTTAGGTGTGTTGAAAGTTGATGGTTAGTTATAGTTGATGTATTTTGTTGCTAGATGGATATCTATAGTTAGTGTTTGCTTTCCAGTGATGTACTCTGTGCAGCCAAACTGTATGCCTTTTCCTCTATTCTAAGATCTGACCAACTCTGTTACTTTGGAAGGGAAGAGTGCAGTGTAATTAGCCCAACAACAGGCTCTCTGGAACTGAACTGTCATATTGTTGCTGACAGAAACACAAGCTGGTTATTGGCATACAGTAAAAACCAATTCACAGCAAAAACTATGCTGCCCTTGTAATAGCCATGAAGGAAGCAACAGGAATAGAGTCAAACTCAAACTGGATATTGACATAACATAAGAACCAATAAAAGCTTCCAGTGTACCATACTTCACAATAGAAAAGAAATCTGCAACAATAATATAAACACAAAGAGAAACTAAATATTGACATATGTTAAATATCTACTAAATGTAACAATTATACCAACATTGACATTAGAAAAGAATCAAATAATAGTTAACTAAATAACTAAGGTTCTGTGTCTCTCTGAGTACCCCAAGTCACTGCTTTCTTCACCTAGCTTTATAGCCTGTTGGTTTTGTGAGAGCCCCCCCACCCTCCAGAGGCCCCTCTGTCCATACAGGCCCAGCTATCGCAACTATCCAAGCCAAGGAATATCACTGATTATGCTGGCAGATAGAGAAACCCAACAGACTAGAGTTCTGTGCTGGGTGCAGACAGTGGACTGGAGTGAGGAGGGAGTGTCAGGCAGTCACTGAACCTAGTGCTAGTACTTTCAGAAAACCATTACACATGTCTGGCCTGGCTTCTCACCACAGAGGGTGGATCCCCATGTCCTTCTTGGCCTGAGCTTAGACTCTGAGACTGTCTCTTGTAGTAGTCTTCCACCTAGTTACTGTGGTAGGGTGACCCCAGAAACCATCAGGTGTAGTTGTTCTGTAGCTCAGTCTTAAACAGGTAATCCCTTCCAAAATGGCTCCTGATTAAACACTCTGAAATATGGCAATGCTGCACTGGATTTCTTCTCCAACTCTAGCCTGCCACGCAAAAGGGTGATTTTGCGGTTGATAGTAGCTCTGAGATGTTGTTGGTGACGCACTGACGGCCTATTCCTTTGTTTCCCTGGAGCTGCCAACCCTCTCAGGGTTTTCCTTGTGTGAAATGAGACAGGTCCCCTCCCCAGGACCCAGGGTTGACTTCACAGACTGCTTCATCCTTTTTTTCTGTTATTGTACTCAGTTTCTCTAGCTTCTCTGGAATTTATAGTTTTCCTGTCACTTCGCTCTGAATTTCTGGAGATCCTTTTTTTTTTAAAGACTACCCCTCTTTTGTTCATAAAACTAATTTGTTTATAAATATATTTTATGTTGTACCACTTACTAAAATTAATGGGTTTCTGGAGTTGTTTACATAAATACTGTGTTGTCTGAAAATATAACTATTTTCAAGATATACTTCCTATTGTTTATGGAGTTCTGGCATAGTACTAAAGTCTTGCCAAATAACTTCATTTACATATACAGATGGAGTGATACTATAAAGCTTCCCATGGGACAAAATTACTTTAAAGTGGAAGTATTTTAGACCAAGTTTGAAGATAAATCTTATGAACAAATGTTACATAGTGTTAACAGTTCTAATTGCAGCCATTTCCCTTATTGAGTGTTAACCCAACATAGTGAGTTTGATGATTTTTCAATATTACATACAAAACTGAGATTTCATTATGAACTAAATCTATAGCTCCTTTATTTCATAATAGGAAAAGATAGTTTTTGCATGACACTGTTAGAGCAAGTGACTTGTAATCTTAGGTTTTACATTTAATTTCTTTACATAATATTTTGTTTTCATTTGACCTTTTAATATTACTGTTTATTTTCAGATAAATGCAGTGTCACTCTATCTCCTTTACCTTGTGGAAATGATTTCTTCAGGACTGCAGATTATCTACAACACTGATGAGGTATGATTTTCCCAAATTCTATATTACTAAACACTGAGAATATCTTTCCCCTTTTACTTTTAAAGATTTATTTTTAGTTTCATAAAGTGGATTATGCTTACATTTCATGTAATGAGATATTAGTTTTTGGATATTGTTTCAAAAAGTATGTTTTCAATGTAATGCACCTTAAAAGGGAGCACAGGTGGTAAAATTTAACTCCTATGATGGCTGTATTTCAGATGATCTGAAAGAAAAACATGTAACTTTCACAAAATTTCAATGAAAATAGGATTTACAGACTAAGTTAATGTCTTTTTTCACAGCATTGCTTTTTATAACTCAGACATTTAAAAGCATAAAGAAACTTTTATCATGTGATATTACTGTTATTTGTAAGACTTCAGTAGGGTTCTTCATGCTTTTCAAAAAACAAATACCATATTCTTATTTTTCATTAGCAAAATTGTAAAGAATTTATACCCCTAGTTGAGAGGCTTTTCTTTCACACACATTAAAGCTTCAACAAACACACCAGCACACATGCTGACTTTGCAGTGTGCCCTATGGGAACAGGAATGCTTTTATTACTTGGTGGCACACACAGTGAGAATTATCAGAAACTAGGTATGCCATGCATACTTGTTATTCCTTTCCTATGCGAAGAGAATTGTTACATCAAATTCACAGTCATCATTGGCCAGTGTTTGAATTGGGGTTCATGTAAGCCTGTCCTCTAGTAGTTTAGTCTTGTAAGTCAAGTCTTTAGAAGTACAGGTAAATAATACAGAAGAAAATACAAGAAATAATAATAATTATAGTTTTTTTCTATTTGATTCATCAATAATTTTGTGTTTTATTTTATCTAAATCATTTTTAGTTTCACAATATTGTGAAATAATTGTATTCAAGCATTTTTAGTAGAGGAATGGTTGGAAAATTTCTGTTACTGATAGTTGTAAGGTGCATCTTAAATGTAAAACAGAAGGGGTATGACTGGCAGAAGAGAGAAAGGCTTCCAGCACCAACTTGTTTAGCTTCTCATTTCTTTTCACCCATAGAGGCTTCAAGGCACTATGAGAACTATGTCTGGTACCAGAGGACCACAGTGTGATAACCATTCACAATAAATGCCAACTAATATTGTTGTTTGGAAGTGATTTTGCACTGCTCTTACTTGAAGCAAAGATAATGGTGAAAGTGTCATAGCAGCCAGGGATTTAGCTCAGTGGTTCCGGCGCCTGCCTCGCAAGCGCAAGGTCCTGAGTTCTATCCCCACTACCAAAAAAAAGAGAAAGTGTCATAGCAGTGGTTTTGTTTAGTTTGGTATTTTATTTTTGAAAATTTATTTTCTGCTCTCTAAACATATACTTTATTTCATTATAGATCTTTGTCAGTTCTCATTATTTGTCAGTATGATATTGCTTAACTTATTTTTATCTTAAACTTTCTGATAGTTTTTCTTGACCTTATTGTGTTTATATGGTGCATATAAAATTGTTACATAGCTAATATTGATAGATTTATCATGTACACTTTAAAATCCTATGATAATAAAATGTATCATTGTTCACCATCTTTCTCCTTGAGATTCTGTTTAATGTATCCAGACTGTATGAAAAGGTAGCCAAGAGGTCAACATAGACTCTTTCAATGAATGAAGTTACTTCTCTCTAGATATTTCTGAGAATTTAATCCTGCAAATAGTGATATAACTTGGATGCATTGTTTTTTCTGAATGTATCTAAGGCCCTGGTTTGGCAGGTTTGTAACCCATCTCTTCTTCAGTAGCTAGTCACATTTAGATTTTAGGGCAGTACAAGGACTTTGGAGATAATACAGCTGCCATTCATTTCCTTTTATATTTATTTTCAAATTTTAAATTTGGCACAGTCTCTATTGTTCTTAGAATTGAAGAAAACAAAGTTTGGGGCTATATATACATATATACATACATATGGATAT